AAGGGAAGTATCAGGAAGGCAGCAAAAGCCAGGTAAAGCATCAAAACAGGCAAAGTAGTGACAACAGAAAACAACAAAATCAAGCACCTTTTTATTTTAGTGACCATCTAGAAAAACATCACTGCATTAATGCTACCTAAAAGCTATTTCAAAATCCAAAGTCCCTATGAAACACTTTACTTCCTACAAGCTTAAGGAATCATTATTTTGTTTTCACTAACAGAACACTGATGTTCATTCCTAATGCCAGCTAAATGCAAATTTGAGCCTCATGTGTTACCTACTGCTTTCTAACAGGCCTTCATTATCTCTCAGTTCTCAGTTAAGACCCATGCACAAATCCAGCACAACAGTTTAGAAGGTACTTAATTTTCAGTATTTGCATAATAACACTGAACAGGATAAATAATATGCATACTTAGTGCCAAGCATCAGCACTACGCCAATTTAAAGCCTTATTCTTTAACATTGCAGAAATAACTTGGAAAGCAAATTAAATGACATATATAAAGTATTCCAACAAGTCAGTATGCAATGACTTCTGAACAAAACACCTGCCAAGGCTAATACCTACCAGACACATCAGATTTTTAGTGACTTAAGACCTTGCTAAATCTCAGCAAATATTAATGCTAAAAACCCTCTATATTCAGAAGAATTGATACAAATGATTTTGGCTCCTCATGCAGTAAGACAGTGCATTATTTTGATAAAGTAAAAGGCATCACTGCAGTGCCAATATAGAAATTCTGTACTTTGAAGTAGCTACAAATGAGAAGCAGAAAAATGCAGCTGTTGTTATGTGTTACAATGCAAATCTGATGAGCTACACTGGGAATATTCAGTATTGCAGTGCAAATTGATGAGAGGAGAGGCACATAGCCTGAATAAAATAAAAAGGTTTATTTAAATCTCACAATTAGGACATTTTCTTTAGTATTGTCCAAAAGATTAAAACCAGCTTTTTTTCCCAAGACCTCTTTACAATTTTTCAAATTTGCTACTAGAATAGCCATGCCACTTTAAGGAAGAGTAGGTCTATCAATTTGAAAAGTTCTATGCTCTAACAATCCTCAGGGACCTATGCAAACACCTGCTCCCCTCTGCAGGTATCCTCAGCTCTCCCACCCTGACACATCCCCCTCAGGAATTACAGTCCTAGGAACCTCCTAGGAGCCTTTCATAGCTTGGGATTCCCCCTCACAGTCCAAGCACTGGTGGAGGAGAGCTCTTTCAACAATTTTCCGTCTGTTCCATGTAGGAATACAGTTAGCAGACTCTCTTGGAATTTAAGGGAAGGGAGGAGGAACTAGTCTTAATTTAAGGGCTTCTGCAGAAACCCTTTCAGGAGCTGAGTCACAGAGAGCACAAGTGAAATTTAATTGCACAGTCCCCAGTGACACTGCAGGGACACTGAGGCCACTGGGTTAGGCACAATCAGGGCCAGATCCAACCCTTTCCAACAGGAATCATATTCACCTAATGCAAGTTCCCTTTTTACCAGTAAAGCTTTTTAAATGCTGATGATGAAGCTGCTTTTCCCATACAGCCCAATTTTGTCTGTAGTTTGTGTGAACATTATTATGTGCAGAGGTAACTCCTTCACTACAAAAACCTACGTGCAACAGTGAATGGTTTCTTATTCTGACATTGACTGTTTACCATGGATACTCAGAATTATCCTGTAGCTTTAGGGACAATCATATTTCCCTCCCTGGTACCCAAAGGAACCCAACAGGCATTTTATCAGCAAAAAAAACCCCAAAGGTTTGGTTAGGCCTTAAAAAGAAATAAATAAATAAAAAGCAAACAAGCAAAGAAAAAACCACAATTACATATGCATTTGAACACTGCACTCAGAAAACATGAGTTATAAAATGCAAGGATGCACAAGGAACACATTGCACCAAACATGTCTGAGAGTTTTATTTGATAAATTACTGGTGGAGTTGAAAAAGACAAGAAGAATGAATGTAATTTATTAAGATTTTCTTTAAAGCGTCCATCTCCCCCTAGAGCTTATGGAAATAACAAAGCAACAAAACGATGTAGCCCTGTAAGAATAACTTACAGAATAAATCTAAGTGATAAAATATCTGTAGGAAGGCAAAAAAGACACTTGAGATATTATTTTAATAAGGAGAAAATATGGATGATACTGGATCAACTGGATCAACTTAAGACTGATGCACAAAATTAAACATTGCCTACACAGCACCAAAATGCTTGAAAGTAATCAATTTGCATTTTGTAATCATTCTCCTGTTAGGATCTGAGCTACAGAAGTCAACAATGCTTTTATTGGAAACTTACCATATCAACATTTGGCCCTCTGTAGTAAGCATGGCCAATTTGTCTGAAGCTGTTTATTTATACACTGAAGACATTCTATACACAAATCAGCTGACAAAGTTGGAAAGTGACAATATTTTTAACCTTTGCAGAAATAGGCAAAATTAGAATATAAATACATGCAATTGACATAATTGAATCTGCAGATTCTGGAGAAGAAAGAATGACTGACATGTATGAAACTGAGTAATTCAATTTTCTGCAAATTCACAAAAGGATTCATGTGACAGATGACAAAACGACTGAGAGGATTATACATTGTAACTACAAAAAGGCAAATCCTATAAAGTACATACATAGTTGTAATATGCAAGACAAGTGGATAATCCCATGTTCAGTGTTAAGTTACATGAGTTGACCCATTGTTTCCAATAGCATCTCTATATCCTCCAATTTTGCCAGCATGTAAAAGTATTAATTTGGTCACTAGCAAAGTCAATGGAAACTGAAAACACACAGTTCAAAGGCTGTCAAACTAAAATATATCACTGTGACTCCAGGCTTTGTGTAACATATTCTTCTCATTGCACTCTAAGACTGAGACATAAACGTTAACAAAGAAAACAAAATTATAAACTGAATAAAAGCGTCAGAAAAATGGATTAAATGTTTAATAAATAAGTGAATGAAAACAAGTACACCTCACAGCTTTCACATATTGCCTTATTTCTTCTAAGTTTTCTCAAAACTACAATGGCAATTAAATTAGCATTATTACAATAGTACGTTTCAAAGAGATTGAATTAGAACTTACATTAGAATTGTTATACTTGAAAAAGCAATAGTTCCCACTTAATGAAACTAGCAGCACCTCTGACAAAATGGCCCAAAATGGAAAAAAAAAAAAAGGAAATCAAGCTGAAGGAAATAAACGAAAGGTTTGACAGTAAGTGGTGAAATTGGCAAGTAAACTAAATTCAGCTTTTCCTGGCACTAAGGCAAACACAGGATAAAACCAGTGTGGGGTCTATAGACTAAACCTGCCTCAACATCACTGCCCCCATGGCTTTTTCCTTGGAATCAGCCTTAGCCCAAGGCTGCATTTACTGCCTAGGGTTAGGGTTAGGGTTACACCAAGGGTTATGCTTCTGAAAACCACAAAACCCAGAGCTCCAGGCACACTGCAGCTGCAAAAGGCGTCCCAAGGGGAACACAAATCTGCCCAAACATGGCTTCCTCCACATCTTCCTCATCTGAACCAGCCTTAGCCCCAGGCTGCTTGCATGGTAACAGGAGGGTGTAGGCTGCTATTCCCAAATTTATCCAAACTCCAGCTTCATGGAAGTGTGAGCTGTCTGCATGGTTTCCCTGCACAGCTCAGTGGTTTTGTTGGTGCTGTCTCCTTGTCCCTCAGAGGGCTGTGCAGGAAGGGTTTCTATGGGCACGGCTGAGGTGCCATCTCCACCTAACTTGAATTTTTCAGTGCACAGAATGTAACTTTTAAAGATAGGAAAAGTACTCTCCTGTTGTTCAAATACTTGAAATTATTCAGAATGTCTAAAACTGCATTTGAAAGGAAATGTGAATGTAGGTTATGAAATATGGGGACCTGCTATTTATTGGAGATGAGACATCGTGTCCTGAGAAAGAAAGACAAAATATTTAATACCATTTTTCCATTAGACATTTCAGTCACTCAATTTAAAATTAACATCTTAGCACATGTTCTGTAATGTCTTATCTGAATCACTAGCAGCCAACATTCAAAAGTTAAGTACTTTAAAAACTGCTTACAGGTGGACATATTGTGCAATTGCTCCTTGAGCTGAACTTTGTATTTTACTCTTTTTAAGATTATGAAATCATGTAAGATTTTTCATTACACTACACCCTCAAAAAAAATTAAACCTAAAATAATTCTTTGTCTCAAAACTTTTAGCTGAAAATCCCTGAGCTCACATTTTAGGTTCCATCCTACAGCCTAGAACAAGAGAACTATTTTAGGGAGGGGGTAGGGACTGGGGGTTTTTCTTGTCCTTAATCTGGATTTTATTAATTTCTGAAATGGGTTACTAGGAATCTGCAATACTAATCTATTCCTTGGACACATGCTATACTCAAAAAAACATAGCTACCTTTATCTAGTGTACGGTATAGTCATACAGCCTACCCAGGTTCAGCTAAAATCATTTAGGAACTGGTATAAAAGCACTTGATCGATCACTTCGACAAAGCACGCAAGGTTTCTGAAATGTTTTAAGCGTTACTGCCTTACGCAGAAATTTAAACTTCAGCGACTGCTCAGTCTCAGTGATCCAAGCATGGGTTGGCTGTTGCAATGTCTGTCTTGCGTTCTGCTGAGCATGGGAATTAATGAATCTGCTATAACACACTCTATTTCTGCCGCTCACCGAGAGACCGCAGCACCGCCACGAGGGGCAAATAAAACAATTTTAATTAGCGCGAAACGTCCCCACGAGGGTATTTCAATAGCCGGAGGGGAGGGACAGGAGGATGGCGGGGCCGTGAGGGGGCGGCGGGCGCGGAGGGCACGGGAGCGGCACCGGCACCGGCACCGCCTCAGGGAGCGGGCAGCGCTGCCCCCGGGCTCCCCGGCAGCGCCCGCAGCCCGCTCCTCCCTCCCGCTGGAGCGATCCGCAGCGGGGACAGGGACACGAGGGTGAAATTAACACAAAATGGAGACTTACAGTCCCGCGGTGACACGCGTGCGCAGCCCCGCCTGTGGTGGCGCACGGCCGGGAGGCGGGGTCGCCGCGATCTCAGGGCCCGCTGGGACGGTGGCTGAGGGGCTGCGGCCGATTGTGCTGCCTGTGGCCGATTTTCCTCCTTATCGCCTATTTTCCTCATAATCGCCTATTTTCCTCGCTGTCGCCGGTTTCCCCGCTTGTGGCGGGCACAGGGGGATCGCGGGGCGAGCGGCTCCTTGGCCGCGGTGGCCGCCCCGGCGGTGCCAGCCCTGCCGGAGGTGAGGGACACCCGGGGCGTGCAGGAGCGCCGTGCTCAGGGCCAGCCGTGCCCGAGGGGAGCCCGCAGGGAAAAGCCTCGCTCATTAATTGTGTGGACGCTTCCCTTGGCAATACGAGTGGCTCCCACCATTACAAGTGGGGAAAGTGATGTTACAGTGTGTGCTGTGCTTGTGCTGCTGCCCTGCGTATCTGGTGTAGACCCTGCTGGAGACAAGAGTTGGGATGATACCTTCCATTTTGCTATAATCTTGCCTTAATTTTTAGTTCTATGTAGCAACAGTGGGACTATCAGTCTGTGCTTCTATGCAGGCAGTGATGTCCCTGCTGAATTTCCTGCACAGACACGGATGTTGAAGCTCCTTCAGTTCAGTATTGGAGACACAGGGCTCTTTGTAGCAGCGGCCCTTCCAGAGCAGCACGTCCAGCACCATCATCAGCTTCTGCCATTAAGTATTTCTCCTTCCACCCTTTTCCTAAAGGAAAAAGGCATGGTTAGTGTCTTGCTTTTGTTTAGTTGGACTGAGATTTTTTGGTGAAGACAAGGCCTTAGAGCAGAAAGCCAGGTTTCCAATGGGTCTTTGGTTTGTTGAGAGTTTTGTTTGGTACCCAAGAAAACTCTCACACAGCTACTTTAGTGTGTATCCCCTGTAGGGAATGAAGTTGCTGAACGTTACTCACAGTACTTCAAGCAATCAGAGATGCTGAGCTCAAGCCCAAACCCTGAACTTTATTTTATGTACTAAAGAACATGTTGGATGTATTTGCTGGAGCCAGTACCACTAAAAATTAGTGCAAGGCACTTCTACTGCTGCATTAATGAACACTGCCACAAATAATGACCAATACTGCAGGTGTCATAGTTTATCCTGTAAACTCACATTGAAGATGTCACCAATCCATGAATGTGGTATCAAGTGTCACTACTACTGAATGCCAATAGAACACCAAGACTGCCTTTTGATGCCAGTGCTGTGCATTATGTCTTAGTGTCTGTACTTCCCATGCTGCAAAGTCCCTTGTCTAATCCCAAAAACCACTCTGTGCTGAAGTGACAGCATCAATTCTCCCTGCTGTTACACATTTTGTCAGCCCTTTGTGACACTGCACAGCAACAGGTCCCTTGAGACATTTGTCTGCAAAGCTACCCTGGATATGTCCCTTTTACAGTGTGTACACCTGTCTTCTAGGATTAAGCAATTGAGGATCCAGTAGTGGCTGCTCCTCCTATATGCACTTGATCCTGAGAAATATCCTGACCACTCATTTTGTTTAGAAAAGCAAACACAGTGGGAGCAATTCCCTTACCTAGTAAAAGTGAAGTTTTTTGCCATCACAGGGTCACTTTCTTTCTTACTGATCACACTTTCCCCTTCCTGGCATGTTTTACTGTCATTGATTGTTAAGGAGACCATATAATTAGTAAAAGCAAGGACCATCAGACTTGTATATGCACAATTTCACTGCCATTTGCAGATGGAAATCCATCCAAGTCAAGGAATGCTGTGTGAGATGATGTGCCCATCACACCCTCATGAAAAATACACTTCTTTTATGTGAGTTGTCTCTTGTTGACTCAACATTTTAAAAAATGTTCAAAAACATTTCCTCTTTTAAGGTCAACATGAAAAGATAAAAATTTAAGACAGTTTTGTTGTTCCAAGCACATGCTTATGATAGTGTGAAAACACTGTACTGAAATATATGCTGAGAAAGCAGACACTTCAGTAAAGCAGCACATCAGAAAATCTGCTTAAATATGTCACAAAGTTTTAAAACCAACAGAAAAACACCACCAACAAACAATCCTGAATGTTATTCAACACTGTTGAAAACAAACTACAAATTCTAATCTCTTTGAATAGCTCTAGCCATAATTCTCCACTTCTACCTCTGCAACCCCTGTCTTTAACCAGAGATTATGTATTAAATAAATACTTGCAGCTGCTAAAATATGTGAGAGACACACAAAGAGGTGGGCTACTGCTACATCAGAAGCATTGGCTTACCAAGAAAACAGCTTTAATATTCTATTATTAACAGGGAAATGTAATACATAAGCAGAAGTGAAGTGTGTTTGTAGATAATCTGCTTCTAACATTCAGCTGAGCATGAAATCTCTTGAAGAAAAGCCTGATAGAGATCCCAGGAAAACATTCCTTTAGCTCACTGCTGCTTCTTTGTTTGATGGGGCAGTTCACTTTGTTGCTTTACACTGAGCTACTTTATACTAGCACAGAAAGTATTTTTCCTCCCTCTAATCCTAAGAGGAGCACAAGCTCTTAATATCTTGACTTTGCCAATTTCAAAGTTTCAGTAAGTCAAATCCTTATAAAAGGTGTTTTACCTGCAAAATAATACATGAGAATCTCTCTTCCTCTGTGATACATGGTAATTGTATTTATTTTTCAATTAATTCTGTGGTTTCCAATATGGACTGTCTTAAATTATATTAAAGTAAAAGCCTTAATATGTGGTGTTACATAGCATGTGTTTTCAATCAAACTTTCTATTGTCTTTTGCCTCAGTATTTGTTGTGTATCCAAGAAGCAGGAACATAGTAGTTCTGAAGAAGTAAAAATGGTATAAGTAAATGAAAATCTGCAGTTTTGTCATGAAACAAGGTGATTCTTCTCATAGTCTCTTTCTGCTGGGTTGTGCAATTTAAAGTGTGTATTTACTTCTTTTGTGTGAAATTATATAATTCACAATCCAAAAGCTTCTGTGAGATCTCAGTGTGTAGAATCAGAAAATCAGCAAACTATCATAGGATTTTTAAAGAAGTTTTCACTCCTTCCTTTAGCATTCAATTCTAAAGCTATCTTTTGTTGGTTTTATTGTAATGTGTGGGATTAGCACTTTTCTAAGGAGGCTGGGCCTTGGGTTTTCATGCACAGTTTCACTTTCGTGGCAACTTCTTTATTACTGATGCAGGCTTACTCTCACTAAGTATCTTCTTCAAGCCACAATGTGTTTTCCACTGGTCAACACATCAGCTACTGAAGACCAACTGGCTGTTCCTTCTAACTTGCTTTTAGTCATTTTTTCTCAAAAGCAGGAAAAATATTCATGTATCTGGCAGAGTAACAATGATACTGCATGTAACCAAAACAGCTCCTTCTGAGAAGTTGGCCATTAATTCCTCTCTGGTAGCTTGTCACCACCAGATGTCTGCTGAGTTTACACCCTGTGCATTTCCCATAACTGCATCCACAAGGCATCCACAAGTGACTGAATTTTCAATAATAACACCACATCCTTTTTTGGACTCTCCTCTTCCCTACCTCAGCAGCTGCAGCTCACCACAGAACTGCAGCCTCTCTTTGTGTTAGGTGTTGTACCTCTCTGTGGAGTGAAGGACCCTACAGACAGCACAAGAGTGTAAGGCTGCTTTTACTTTCAGAATAAGTTTCAACACTCAGGGTTTTGGGAAGTGAGTTTTTCACAGACAGTAATGAGAAATAGTCTTCATTCAAAACAGAAAAACATTTCCAGGTTTATACCAACAAGTACAGAATGCTCTGTTTTCCCATAAGAAGCAGTGGCAGTGAAGCCTACCCCTGCCAATAATGAAACACATCAAAGCTCTGTCTAGGCATGAGGAGTGGAGGCACATTTCCCTCCAGAAATCAGCACTCACTGAACCTGCTCACCAGCTGTAGGTGCAATTAGCTGTGTCCAATTTACATTTGGAGCACAAGGACCAGCTTTCACAGCAGCACGCTTAAAACAGCAAACACAACAAGCTGGGGTTTGCCAACACAATGCAGTTTCTCTGTTCAATGGGAAACTTTACAAAATGTATGTGCAAGGTATAATTACAGCATGCCACAAATAAAATTTCAAAAGGATAATTGAAACAACACTCATATCTTGGAAAAATAAGCTGGTTAATTGTTGTAGGTTCACAGATGTGTCACAGCACACAATACAATTAATAAAATATAAACACCAATTTTCAAATCAACACAGCTTGATAATTTGAATTCAAATTTTAAGAACAGAAGAAAAAACCCTAAAAAACACCACAAGTCTTTCTTTCATCTGTTTCCTTTTCCATGCTCTCTGTGGCCATTGAGACTATTAGGAAACCAGCCAATTTAGTCAGAAAACTTTGCAACATAGCAGGGAGCTTCATTTGTCATCACATGCAATAGCAGCTGTCTCCATCAAGAACGAAGTTAATCAGTACAGACTAAATAAATTAGGTAATTCCTTAGATTGTTAAGGAATTACATTGTACTTTTGAATGAAGACCAATCTTTGTCTTCTGATGCTGGAAAACTTCTCTTTCAAGTAAATCAATTTTGTGGTTTGAAACTAAAGAGCAGTGAAATTCCTTAATGTTTTTTTTACCCAAATATTTTTGGTAACTGAAGATATTCAGTTTACACAAGGGACACAAAGTTTAAAATTTTAAAGGCAGAAAAGCAAACAGGTTTATACACAAAGACTTCAGTATTTACTTTACTCTTATGATCACTTTTTCTAAAAACAACAGTAAATATTTTCACGTTGGTTTTGGTTTTATTTTAGTTTTTTCTGTGATGCTTGAAAACAAAGATGGTACATGGTGCCTATTTAACTAAAGGAGCAACAAAAACCTTTAGAGCATTTTAATACAAAAAGAACTAGATCTTTATCACCAAAAAAAAACAAACAGAAAAACAAAACAAAACAAAACAAAAAAACCCCACCAAGCTTTCCTGTACAACAGAAAACTTATTTAACCTTAAAAATCTGCTAGGCAATTTTGTAAGGAACCAGAGCAAC